CGTGTTCCAGATGCTGGGGGTCGCCCAAGACCCTACGTCATTCCTGAGGCACTTCGCCCGGGCCGTCTTCGCCAGCTGCTCCTGGGCGGTGGCGAACGACTCCCAGCCGCGCTGGAACGGGCCCGAGACGCCCTCCCCCGCCGGCTGCGCCGGCCACTCCGGCTCGCCCTCCGGCGCCGCGCACAGGTGCTCGTACGCGCGGAGGTAGCGCAGCTCCTTCGTGTCGTTGGGGCCGTCGGCGTCCGGCAGGTGCACTGGCCGGAGCAGCACCGACTTCATGAGGTAGTGCGTCTCCACGCTCGACTCCGCGCTCACGAACTGGAAGCCGTCCGGCCTCGGGATGCGCGGCTCGACGGCCAGCCTCTGAGTCCAGTTCCGCGCCGCCGAGTAGGACGAGTCGAAGGCGATGTCGACGTGCAGGGTGCGACCTCCGCTGCCCTCGGGATCCAGCTCCCCGGCCGGAAGGGCATGCAGCGGCAGTTCCACGCGGTACACCCAGATGCTGTAGACGTACAAGCTCATGTCTCGGACAATAGGGTGGTCTCCGCGGCGCATCCAATCGTCATGCTGGCTCAGCACTGCGCCCCTGAACTTGCCCTGCGCGAGGCCCTCGACAGTCGGCCCTTGTGTCTCGGGCACCTCTTCGGCCTCGCCTTCCCGCAACTTGTTCAGCGCCTTCGTCACGTCGCGCAGCGAGCCGCCGCTGGCGTTCGCGATCTGGAACGCCTGGCGCGCGTACTCGAACGTGTCGAACTCCTCGCCGTCGGGGCTGACGTACACCGTCTCGCCCTCGCGCTGCATCTCGCGCCACCCCGGCATCGCGACCTGCTGTCCAGTGCTGGGGACCGCGTACGTGATCGAGGCGGCGGGTGCGCTTTCCGCGGTGTCGGCCTGGCCGTACCGCCTGCGCCAGGACTCCGCGGCGAGGTAGATGGATTTCCGCATGAACACCTTCCAGCAACGGTGCGTCATGAAGGAGAGGTGCCCAAAGAGCATGGGGAAGACCATCTCGCTGCCGCTGTTCCAGGAGGCCCTGCGGAAGCAGGTCTCGAAGCGGGCCAACACCTGCAGCGTGCGCTTGAAATCCTCCTTGTGCTTTCCTGCGGCGGTCGACTGGGCCTCGTCGCCGGCGTCGCCCGCGGCCTGCGCCTCCCTGTCGTCCCACTGGCTCTTCAGGCGGCGCACGCCGTCGAGGAGCTTGCAGAGCACGTCGTCCATGCTGGGGTTCACCTTCGTGGTGTACGAGTTGACGTAGTAGCTCGCGTTGTGGGCGTCCACGAAGGTGGCCAGCGCGTGCCGCTCCAGGTCGCGCTGGAGATCGGCGCGCGCAGCGTCGCCACCGTCCACGGCGGGGCTGTCGCGGTTCGCGAGCTCCCTGAAGATCTCGCGCCAGTCGGTGACTACGACAAGGTCCCATTTCTCCGCGGACGTGGTGTTCAGATGCTGGAACCATCCCCAGTCCTCCTGGGCGCCCACCGAGAAGTCGGCGTAGCGCTGAGGGTAGAGGCCATGGTTGTAGCTCTTGCGGTCCTTCTCGTCCGGCTCCGGTTCCAGCTCCGACGCATCCATCCACAGGCGCGGGGGCAGCACCCGTCTCATGTCCTGCGCGTCCACGTTGCACCGCGCCGAGACCACCGCCGCGCACTTCGTGGAGGTCTCCCCGGGGTGAAGCTGGAAGGTGACGATGCGCCCGGCCACGCCGTAGTCCGTCTCCCGGAAGATGCCGATGCAGCCGCGCAGCGCCTTCCCGCGCGTGCGGAACCGGCACTCTTGGGAGTCCGCATCCTCGGGCCACGTGCACAATGTCACCAGGTTGTAGAAGTTGTGGCGGCAGATCTGCGAGCCGCGCGCCTTGTCCGAATGGTACTTGTAGCAAGAGGGGCTGCAGACGTGGATGCCGCAGCCGATGACGAGCTCGCGCGCGTCGCGGCACATCTCGCGAATCCACTCCTCGCTCGGGAGAGACTCCGCCAGGGTGCCCCCGCCGCGGTACCTCGGGAAAATGCCGGAGGCGCTGCTGGAGAGCGGCTGCCGCCAGTACCCCTTGTTATCCGCGGCGTTCTTCTCCACCCACGCCGCCTCGTCGTCCGCTTCCGTGCCGTCCTTGTGGCGCAGCGGCAGATTGGGGCGATACGCCTCGTGGTAGACCTCGTCGCCTTGGGTTTCGGACTTTTGGGGGTCGTAGAACCACAGCTCCTGTTCACCCGTGTCGTCCCCGACCCCGAGCTGCTCTGCCGTCGCCGTCTCCCTGCGCCCGTCGGCTCTGAAGTACCGCTTCTCGTTGGGCCCGAACGGCAGCGGCGGCACCGCGACCCCGCACTTGTTCTCGCCCCCCTGCAGCTGCAAAGGCAGCAGCTCCACGGCGCTCTGCTGAGTGGCGACCACGGCCTGCACCACCTGCCGCATCCACAGGTTCAAGCGCTCCTCGAAGCTCGCCTGGTCGCGCTGCAGCATGTCCAGGAGCACTTGCAGCTGGCCCTGCAGCAGCCAGATGAGGATATGCGGGTGAAGCGAGCCGCGGCCCTGAGCCTCGACAGGACCGAAGGCCGCCGCGAGGGGGCCGAACACCGTGGGCACGCCCATGAGGTCGGCCGCCACGCCGTCGGAGACCCAGTGCTCCGAAGCCTTTCGAACTTCTCCTCGCCGCCACCCGACGATCTCTGGGCGCAGGCCGAGGACGTGGACGAAGAACAGCCTCATCATCAGCTCGAACACCACGGCCTGGCCCACGGGGTCCGCGGCGACGCGCTGCGACATCTCGCTGAACGTGACTTGCCCCGCCTCGGTCAGGTCGTTGTCGAAGGTGTATTCCTCCCCCTGCACGATGAGGATCAGGGGCTGCTTGGTGTCTGCCAGATTCGGGGTAACGAACTGGACGGGCGGGCCGAAGCGCAGGGTATACGCCTCGCCCTCTCCGCGCAGCTCCCGCCTGTGTCCGTCGGACCCGACTTGGCCGGCAGTGGCCTGGCCCAGGGTGGCGAAGGCCTTGCGCACCTCGTTCGGGGTGTCCTTGTCCTTGAGGATGCCGTGCAGCGTGGCCTTCCCGCCCGTCTGCTGCGCCCTGAGCTGCACCTCCTCGATCATCTCCGGCGTGATGTCCGCGCAGGCGCGAGCGGCCCGAACGCCCCGGGCGTCTTCATGAACGTGTAGGTGCTGTTGGTCGTCTCCGTGACTCTCCAGAAGGAACACAGCAGGTGCACGTCGTACCAGGAGCTGCGGAAACGACTGATGGGCCTGGCCACGTATCTCTCCTCGTCGGCGGGCACGTCATACTCCATCTCCTCCCGCGTGAGTAGATTCTTGATGAAGTGCGCCACGCTGAAGCAGAGCCGAGCCTCCTTCTGCTTCTGCGGGTCCTCATCTCCGTCCGGGGGGAGCTGGCCGAGGCCCCAGGCGCAGTCCCCGTAGCAGAAGTCCGTGGGCCTGGCAATCGACCAGTATTTCGGATTCCACCAGCTCTCCGCCTTCCTCGAAGTGGGCACCCGAAGCCTCGCCTTCCGCTGGCCGTCTGGGACGGGCGGTTCCTGCAAGGAGCGCGGATCGTCCTCGGCGGGAGTCCCCGCGACTCCTGCAGATCGCGCCAGGTCGCCCGCGCCCTCCCCCGCCTGGCAGTTGTTGGTCTCCAGCGCCTGGACGCGCCAGCGCAGCTTCGCCATGTCCCCCCCTGGGGAGATCTTCCGACAGCGCGCGTGGAACTCCTGGCAGAGGTCCCGCAGGCGGTGACGCCCGATCTCGTCCAGCTGCAGCGCCCTATCCTCGCCTCCCTGGTCCTCGAGTCTGGACATCAGCTCGTTGGCCACCACGCGCCCCGCCTGACTCTCCATCCTCTCGAGCATGCCCTGGAGCGCCGGCAGGGACGTGAGCTCGCTGACGTCGCCCATGTGGTCCTCAAGGACGGACAGCCACTTGGTCAGCTCCTGCGCGTCCTCGGCAGCCGCGCTCATCTCTGCCTGCGCGCCAGTGGTGGCCGAGGCGGGCCCCTGCGCCTGCGCGACGTCGTCCAACGCCGCGTCCGTGGGGACATACGTCGCGCAGGCCAACATGAAGTCGGGCACGCCCGGCCGCGGGGGGAATCGGCCCACGAGGTCCGATCGGTACTGGACGCCCGGGTCATTGTACACGTAGTTGTGCTGCTTCAACAACCGCGCCTGGGCGTCGTACTCCGCCTTGTCGACGTGCAGCGCCACCTCCTCCCTCATGGCTCTCAGGGCCCTCTCCTGCTTCGGCTCCTCGGTCAGGGGGATGCCCTCCTCGTCGTTGTCGGCGCCTGCGAAGACGGCCACGAACGTGTCCCTGAGCATGTCGGGCTCCGGCGGGAAGCTCCGCATCGCGTGGTCCACGTTCCCGTTCCCGAACACGATGGCGGCGCCCTGCATGGCGTACTGCAAGAACTTCTGCCTCCACGACTGCTGCTCCTGCCGGACGGCCTTGTCGGCGCCCTTGCTGGACAGGTAGATCTTCGTGGACACGACGCGGCCGAGCGCGAGCAGCATCTGGTGTGCGAGAGCGGCCTTCCTGAGCAGCGGGTGGTGGCGGCCCAACCAGAGGTCGTTCACCAACGCCATCAGCGGCACCTTGGGGTGATCAGACCACAGGTCTCTCCGGCAATCCTCGCAGACTTTCACTGGCACATTCCCTTCGAGCGCCTCCGGGGGCACGCGCCTCTTGTGCAAGAGTATCTTCGTGGACGTCGGCGAGCCCTCGCAGACGTTGTGGGGGAAGTCCACGGCCGACGACATCAGCTCGTCGCGCGGTATGAGGGGCCATCGTTGGTGATACCACTCGGCCGACAGGCAGTCCGCGAACTGGGCCCGGTCCTTTATGGTGCACTTGTCGCCGACGAGGTGCTCCGAGTGGAGGTTCTCGGACCACTGCTGCATGGCGCAGCAGACGCATGCCTGGAAAGCGCGGGGCTCCCTCGCCTGGCACGCCGCCTGAGCGCGGGCTGCCGACTCCGCCGCGTCGGCCGCCTGCCGGGAAACCTCTTCCGCGGGGGGGGCCTGCCCGATCTTGCCGGCGATCCTGCCGACGATCTCCGCGTGGACGAGCTGCTTCTGCATCTCCGAGTCGAGCTTCGGGACGAACGGCTCGTCGACGGGATCGACGGTGGCGCAGCACTGGGAGATGTGGAACCTGGCAACCACCTGCAGCGAGGGCGGGGAGCGCCGCCCGACCCCCAGCGCTCTCGATGCCCTTATCGCTGGCGCCGGGGGCGCCAGCGCTAAGGGCACGTCTCCGAGGGCTGGGCGCAGTTCCCCGCCGCCCGCTCGCCTGGCGCTCCTCGGTCGGCGACGGCTGGTAGGGCTCCAGCTCGCACCGCGCCACATACTGCGACTGGTACCACCGCTGCCCCCCGTGGACTCTGCCCCGGCGCGCCTTGAACGCCTCCCTGTTGGGGAACTCGGCCTCGCACATGCGGCAGGCATAATGCAGGGCGGGCGCGGGGCACTGGAACCACTCAGAGCGATCCCGAAGGCGCGCAGGCATGGCGGCGTGCCGGGGCGGGCCGCGGTTGCAGGGTCTGCGCTGCCACGCCTCCGCCAGGTGCGCCCTCAGCGGGTTGCCGTCGCCCAGCGCGGCCGACGCGTCGCTCGCCGCCAGGCGGACCGCGGCCGCCACGGAGTGGGCGCCGTGGGCGAAGCCCAGGCGCTCGTCCAGGAGCTCCGCGACGTGGTGCAAGTGCCACTCCCCGCTCTCCAGTCGGCGCTTGGCGTCGGAAATCTCCTCCTCCGCCACCCCGAGCGCCTCCCGCAGCCTGCCGGCCAACTTGTCGGGCCGATCGAAGGCGCGCAGGAACGTCGCCCATCGGTTGGCGCAGTCGTCGCCCGCGTAGACGAAGAAGTCAGGGTAGCGCTTCAGCAGGTCATCGGCAGCGGCCAGCGGCTCCAGCAAGTGCAAGAGCAAGAACAGGTCGCCGCACTCCCGGCGCGCATCGCACGCCGCCTGCAAGCTCTTCGCTCCCCTGCTGCTGCGGAGGACCGGGGTGGCGGCGTTGTTCTGGGCGTCCTGCCTGGACCCGTCGGCGTTGTCGCCCTTGCTCTTCGGCTTCCGCCCCTGCCGCAGCACCTCCTCCGACTTGCAACCGCGCTTCTGATCCTCCCGGTTCTGCTGCCTCCCCTCTCGGTTTCGGCTCTGCTGCCTCCCCTCCTGGTTTCGGCTCTGCTGCCTCCCAGCGCGGCTCTGCTGCCTCCCGGCGCGGCTCTGCTGCCTCCCGGCGCGGCTCTGCTGCCTCCCAGCCACGCTCTGCTTCCCTCGGAGGCGGAGCCGCTTCCTGGCAGGGGCGCCGCTCCTCGCTGACGCCGCGGGTCGCTTCCGCGCGCCCAGCGCGCCAGCGTCGCCGGCCCCGCCACCCTCCTCCTCCTGCTTCTCGGGCGCTTCGTCGAGGCCAGGGCTGTCCTCGCCGTCCGTGTCGACGTCGCCGTCGTCGCCCGCGCCCTCCGCGCCGTCGGCGACCGGCCCGAGCGGCCACGGGCACGCCTCGGCGCGGGCCGCCCTGGAGCCCACCTTCTCAAGGAAGATGATGCAAGGTATCTTGTGCTGGGTGCCAGGCGCCCACTGGACCACGTGCGGCCGATCGCCCAGGTCGTCTGCAGTGTACCAGCTCCCGTCCTCCTCGAAGTGGGCCACGAAGTGGCCCTGGGGGTCATTCAGAACGTGGGATGGGACGGCTTCCGACCCCTCGGGCAGGATGTACTGCACGTAGGCGCGCAGGCGGTACGCGACGTCTTCCCCCCCCGCCCTCAGAGCCACCTCCGGGAGCTCGCCCCAGTAGGGCGCGATGTCGCAGCCGCCGAGGAAGAGCGCCGCGCCGTCGCCCCGCTCCCACCTCTGGGGCACGTGGACCGCCAGCAACTCGGGCTTCGATCGCAGTCGCCCGCCCATGGAGGCGCCGCGGCGGAGCAGCTCTCGCACGTCCAGTCGCTGCGCGCCCCCGTCGAGGAGGAAGTCCTGCGGCGACAGGGCGTCGTCGCCTTCGTCTGCCTCGTCCACGAACGCCGGGGGCCTCATCATGGCCTCCTCGTCGCATCCTGTCTGGAAGAGGCTGGCGAGACCGGGCGCGTCTTCCAGGATGAAAGACAGCACCTCACTCGCGTCCGCGTACTTCCCCAGCCTGAAGTCCACCCAGTGCTTCGCGAGGAACGCGTCCACGAAGGCGCGCGGGGACCAGCGGTCCAAGCGGACTGGCGCTGGCGCGGCGCCGCCGACGCCCTCCGCGGGCGGCGGCACCCCGCGCACGCAGGCGGCCGCCAGGGCGCGCAGCTCCTTGAGGGGGGGGCGTGAAACACATGCCGATTGCCCCCTACCCCCCGCCCTGGCGACGCGCCAATCGCCTCCCCTCCCCGGCGGAGGGAAGGAACCTAAAGTCAACCAGGGGCCGTGCCGGAGCGAAGACATCGACGAGATTCCCCCCACCCCGCGTCCTGCACGACCAGCGGCTCACCCTCGCGCTCCGCCCCCAGGAGCGCGGCGCGCGCGGCGGGGCAGTGGAGGAGGCACTGCAGGGGCGCGTTGAGGTAGCAAGTGTTGCACAGGTTCGAGAGGCCCGGGTACGGGTGCTGGCCGCCGCGCGACCGATGCAGGGCGGGATGCCTCCAACGGTCCTCGTCGTGGACGTCGTTCCCCTCGCACCAGTGCTGGCGCAGCATCCGCAGTGCCTGCTCTGCGCCCTCGGCACGCTCATCCTCCAGCCTCGATTCCCGACCGGCCTGCACCAGCGCGTCGATGCGCTCCTTCAGGATCTGGGCCGCTGGCTGCAGCCTGCTGGTCCCCCTCCACCGCTGCCACCTCCTCGCCAAGTCATCCTCGGGCCCCCTTCCGGGACGCTGGCGCCGCGGCCAGCGGCCGCGCTCACTGTGCCAGGCCAGAACGTCGCGGAACGTCGCGGCCGCGACGTCCCGTCGACCTCCCGCTGTCCGAGGAGTCGGGCCCCGGCGGCGAGCAGTCCCGGGAGTCTGCCGGGGGCGCCCGCCCGCGGCCGAGGCGCCCGGTGTCTGCGGACCTCCCCGCTTCGGGCCCGATGCCGGGGTGCCCCTCGGCGCCGGGGAACCGCGCGGCGACGGCCCTCGTGTCCCTCTCACCCGGCGCCGAGGCGGGCAATCCTGCTGGCGCCGCGGCGTCTGGGGGCCATCGCCTGGGCACTGCGCGTGCTGTGCTCGCAGACGGCGCAGCTCAGCGCGCCGCTCCGTCTCCGGCATCCGCAGGAGGCGGACCTTGTCCGCCGTGGCCGCGGCGAAATTCTCGCGCGGCGGGCCTCTGATGGAGGGCTCGCCCGCAGTCCGCAATCTCACTGTAAAGGTCACTGTTCCGCCTCGCTCATTCTTGCCCACGTTGATCCGACATCTCGTCCCGCTGCCCTTGGGAGGCACCCGGGGGGGATTGACCCGGCGCGGGGCAGGGGGCCGCCCGCGCGAGCTGGAGTGTCTCCGACTCGGGGCGATCGCCCCGCGAGAGGGGTCCCCGTCCACGAGCGGAGGTCGTCTGTCAATGGGCGCGTCGGGCGCGTGTCGAGCGCGGCGGCGCCTGCTGCTCGGGCCATCAGGTCTACGGATATGGAATCGTAGTCGCCAGGATTCCGCGAGGCAAACCCAGATGTCCAACGTCTGAAATAGACTACAACGGGCGACATTTGAGCGCGCTGGGCCCGTCGACGACGACCGGATGCATCGGGAGCTCTGAGCGGGGCACGCAGGGGCCCCCGCGACGCGCGCTGGTCGCCCCGAAGGAGTCTCAGCGACGCGCGCGGATCGTCCGCGGCACTGAACAATTGGAAAGACGCGCGGCCGACACTGAGCGCCGGACACAGTGCACCGGAATGTCTGCGACGCGCGCCGGTCGCTCCAAAGGAGACTCTTGCATGCTTGGGTGTAGCTTGGGAGCCTTAGTTTTTTACGCGCAGCACGTCGGCGCGAGATTATCGACGACGCTCTATGGAAAAGAATAAATTCGCAAGTCGCACGCGCGATATTTTTTTCACGTCGCCATAGGAACCCCCAAAAAAGCTTGAGACCCCCGTCGTTTTGGTATCAAAACGACGGGGGTCTCGCAGTCGCGTTCTCGCGGTGAGATCCGAGCGAATCAATAGGACGTTCGCATCAAATTGAAAGCGCGTTGTTTTCCGCACCGCCTGGTTTTGCGCTGGACGGTCGCTAAGAATTTAAGCGCCCTTCAGGACACAGGCGCCCGGGCGTAGCAAAGACGCAGATGGCGACGACGAATCGCGTTGAACAAGATTGGAAATTCGCGATAGTGACGTCCTTCAGGGCACAGACGCCCGGACGCAGCAAACGCCGATGGCGACGACCATTCTCTTTGAACGCGAGCCCGTTTTTGAAAATTCGCGATAGTGACGCCCTTTCAAACACAGACGCCCGGGGCGTAGCAAACGCCGACGTCGATAACGATTCGCTTTGAACAACTTCCCGCCGGGCGTCCGCGCGCGCATTTCGCGGAGGACGGGTCGGAAACAGAAAAAAAGTCGACGCCAGATAAAACAGAAAAAAACACATAATTTCCCCCTCCCAGATGGCCCATTGCAAGTACCGCTCCCGCGTCCCGTCGCGCGTCCGCGCGCGCATCTCGCGGAGGACGGGACGGAAACATGAAAAAAATCGAAACCGGCATACTCAGAAAAAGCCCATAATTTCCCCCTCCCAGACGGCCCATTGCAAGTACCGCTCCCGTGTCCCGTCGCACGTCCACGCGCGCATTTCGCGGAGGACGGGTCGGAAACAGAAAAAAAATCTGAACCAGAACAAACAAACAAAAAAAAAAAAAAAAAAAAAACATCCCCCTCCCAGACGGCCCATTGGAAGTACCGCTCCCGTGTCCGGTCGCGCGTCCGCGCGCGCATTTCGTGGGATTGGGAGGATTGGGGAGGATTTGGTTGGATCTGGGAACATTTTGAATGGATTTGAAAAGATTCGGGTGTGTTTGGGAAGATTTGGAAGGATTCGGGTGGATTGGGGGGGATTCGGGTGAATTTGGAAGGATTGGGGCGGGTTTGGGTGGGTTTGGGTGGGTTTGGGAGGATTTGGGCGGGTTTGGGAGGATCTGGGTGGATTTGGGAGGATTCGGTTGTGTTCGGGAAGATTTGAAAGGATTTGGGCGGATTTGGAAGAAGTGAGCGGGTTTGGGAGGATTTGGAAGGATTAGGTTGGCTCCGGGCAGATGTGGGAGGATGTGGGTGGGTTTGGCAGGATTCTGGTGGATTGGGTGGGTTCGGCAGGATTGGGCGGGTTTGGGAGGATTTGGGCGGGTT